CCCTAAGAAATGACACAGAGGCAGAAATCTACACGTGGGAGCTAATCGAGAAACACAAATGGGCTTGACAAGGGACCTGCGCTAGATATGCTTCCTACCCTCCCAGCACACCTACTCAGCGCCTAGCTACTGCCTTTCTGTTTGTTTGTAGGATAGTTTATCATATTAGGTGTAATTCTAAACTTGCCATTTTATTCAGAGATTACATATGGTTTAAGGAGATTTGTCTAGCTGCGAAGCTGACAAGCATTGGATTGTGATAGTTCGTTGTGGCTTTTCAGCTTGGCTTGAGTAAGGACTGCCCGGCAGATTAAGCAGAGCTCTGAGTATGTCTATGGATGACTGACATGGAGGCTGCACACAGACGTGGGGTGACCCATCCTGGAAGTGGATAGCAGCATCAACCAATAGGGTTATTTCCTGGATGGAATAAAAAGGGAAAGAAGGAGCTCTTCCCTTTTTCTTCTTCTGAAGAGTCCCAATCTTCCCAATCTTTGCCACTGTCTTTGGATGTTTGCCTCCAGTTCCTGCAGGCCTTCAGGGCAGACTCTTTAGCCTTCCAACTCGGACTCTTCACCTTTCTGACAGAGACTTGCACAAGACTCTATGGGGAGCTCCAGGCCTTTGACCTTGGACTGGGTCCTCCAGCTCTCCAGTGAACAGACAGCAATTTTACATCTTTTCACTCCTGATTCTTCAGGTAATCATTTTAAACTACTTAGTAAATCCTTTTTTTTTTTTTTTTTTTTGTACTGAGTATCAAACTCAGGACCTTGTGCTTGCCAAGCAGGTCCTATGCCACTGAGTTAAATCCCCAATCCACAAATCCTTTTGCAATGATATATCTTTTAATACTAAATCTGTTCCTGTGGTAAACCCTAACTAACACAGATTTTGGTACTAGTATCACATATAATAAATATGACCTTGATTCAGATGGTAAATGCCAACAAGCATGTAACATCAGGTCTGGGACCCCTTGAGCACCTGGTGAAAGCTATCCTTGAGTCCTTTAAAAAGTGGCTATGTCAGCCATATGCGGGTCACTGAAGGGAGATCCAGACACCAACATTTTCCCATGAGTTGACACCATTAATGAACTGTAGGGGAGGAGAACAATAGTTCAGTAAGAAGCCAGGCCTTCCCTGTGAGTTAGCAGTATGCATGGGCCAGTTATCAGGCTGAAAAAAGGAGAATCAATGTCCTTGTCTATTCAAAGGATAACAATATGCAATATAGCATCTATAGGGAATCTCCTTCTGAAAGTGGTGGCCATTGTTAATTCCCTATTATCTTGTTTTAAAGTCTTATATCATTTTCATTATTTTGTTTGGTTGGGTTTTATTCTGATTTTTCTTGTTTGATTTTGTTATTTCAGATGACATGGGCAGCTATTTCAAAGATAACAAGATATATTATGGTAGCCATTTTGGATTTCTATTATCTTGTTTTGAAGCACTTTATTGTTTTCATTGTTTTGTTTTTATTAGTTCTATTCTTTTCTGTTTTGTTTGATTTTTACCATGTCTGAAATTATGGGGAGCTTTTTGAAGACAACAAGAGGCTTTGTGGTAATCACTGATTCCTATTACCTTGCTTTGAAGTCCTGTATTACTTACACTGTTTTGATTGGTTTTAATTGGTTTTGTTTTGTTTGGTTTTATTCTCTTTAAAGTAAAAATTACCTCCAAAAAAGTGGCTACATGTCCTAAACAACAAAGCTGAAACAAAGGCAGCAGCTGGTGTGGAGAATGGCTTCAAGGACTCTTAGTGACCTTATAAAAGAACACTTTTGCTCAGGGAATAGAGGATATAAAGCTGTTATGAGCTAGGGATGAAAGCAGCCTTTCAAATCACAGACCAAGAGCCAGAAAAACATAAAAGGGCTGACTTTAGCTGAGGAGGCCCAGCCTACTTCCTGATGGAACAGAACTACTTTGCTTCCTGGCTTCCTTGTGGTGAACAGAGCACTTCACCTACACCCCTGCCGTGACGCTGTTCTGTGCCATCCCAGCCCCTAAGCAACAGGATCAAGAAGCAGTGGCCTGAAACTTCTAAAACCACGAGACAAAATGAATCTTCTCTTCTTCCAAGTTGATTACGTCAGGTATTTTATCACAACAATAGAAAGTCAACTAACGTAATCCCTTTCCTCATCCATCACCTGCCATCCAACATCCCCGCTGGCTCATGAGCACCTGATGTGTGCTAATGTGGGTGGAAATCTGAGAACACAAAGCTCAGGTGTCTGGGAAACATCCAAGGGTAGTTTTCCATTACCACATTCATTTGATTTAGATGTATGACATTAACATATTCCTTGAGGACGTGCACTTTCACTCCTCTTTCATTCACAGTTACTTCCTCGGGGTTCTAGACCATAATAGATAGGAAGTACTCACCTTTAGGCTTTCCCTGAGCAGGTCCACTCCGGAGAGCAGCACTTGGGCATGTATCCAGTATCCAGTCGACCAACAAGTCTGTCAGTATCAGAGAAGCGTGTTGCTCTGAATGAACACTAGGGGAGGTTCCTGGAGTTGGGCGCTACACAGTGTAAGGATGATGTGCTGTTAGGTCCAGAATCCTGCATCCCACCTGAGGCAGAAGGATGCTCGCTCTGTGAACTGTGTTCAAGAACTGGGGCCACCCAGGGGGTGAATGATTCACAGAGCACAGTGCCCTTGTTCATTCATTGCCTGAACAGGAGAAGAAATCATCTTCTTGGTTAAATTATTGTCTGCCTCTCAAGTCCATATAGTTACTTTTTTTTAGACTAGAGACACAAATGATTCACCTTTGCTACACTAAACGACCTGGGTATCTGGCTTCAATTAAGGTTCTGCTACCTCTTCTGGCCCATCCTTTAATATCTAGGGCAGTAAATCCCATTCATTTATTTTCCATCTCCCACTAACTCAATCACTACCCTCAGTTTCTTCCAGAAACACTGCTTTCTTCCTTGTGCTCTCTCCTTACCTTATGAAGCCTTTCAGTTTCAGATATGTCCCAAAACAATGCACATGTAAGACCCTTTCTGCTCCCATTTTCTTTGCCTGCTTTTTTTTACAAACATTCTTCCTCCCTACCCAATTAACTCTCCTCCAGTCAGAGAAGTCCCCCTTTGTCTCTGCTTATACCTAAGCAAATTCTCTGCTGAAAAATACTTCATCTCCATCCCATGAAGTTTTAATTTTTACAAATATCTTTAACAAAAGGAATTTAATTTAACATATACAAAAAAAAATACTCTTAAGGGACTGGGGTTTAGCTCAGCAGCATAAGCACCTGCCTCGCAAGCGCGCTTGCGTGAATTCAATCTCCAGTACCATACTCTGTCTTGAGCCCTTACCTTTCTGAACATTAATGCAATTAGGTAAAATTAATGTGTGTACAGCTCTATAAATGAAATCTCATTATCTTCATTTTATGGAGTGGAAGACTGTGGCTCACATGAGATGTCTTGGTTCACAGAGTTAGTAGGTTTAAACAAGGATCCAAACCCAGATTCTGTTTGGTTCCCAAACTTGGCATTACAGTTTAGGTATGTTTTGTTGCCCAGGAGCTCGTGTGCTGGGGACCTCGACAGAGCCTGGCAGTTTGAGTTGGTGGGGTCTTTAAGAGGTGGGACTTGGTGAAGGTAATTAAACAGTGGAATCATCTTAAGAGCAGATTAATGCAGGTCCCCTGACACCGAACTGATTCCCACAAGAACAAGTTATGGTAGGTAAGCCTGGTACCTCCAAAGAGTACCCTCTGCATTCACTACTCACCACACCCAACACACGGCTGCCTTGGGCTGCCGTAACCTTCGAAGCACTCACCGGAAGCAAACAGTGCTGGAACCATGCTCTTGAGCCTCCAGAACTGTGAGCTAGATAAACTTTTCTTCACAAAGCATGCAGCCTCAGGTAATTTGTTATAACAACACAAAACAAACTTATGTATTTGTACTCTTTTTGCCACATCTTACTACTTCAAAGGTTTTAGGATAGATCTCTTAGTATTTCTGAAATGTAGTTTCCTCAATGCCTTATCAAAAGGAGATTAAGGTACCTCAAAGTGCCTTCCATGTTAATACTTTTTTTTTTCCATGTTAATTCTAAGGGAAAAGAAAAGGCAGCTGGGAGGACAGAAACTAGTAGCAGAAAGAGGGTAGAGGTTTTATGAGCTTGTCTTACTATTTGCGACTCTACCGATGTGTATTTGCTGTGATTATTTACAAGACAACCAGATGCTCTTTTGGAAACATTCCCCATAATGTGTAGCAGGCAAATAATTTTTCTTGGGGTTTTTGAGAAGTGTAAGCCTCCATCGTGTGAGTAAGCCTATTTCACAGGATGCATCCTTCTGAAGAGTTTATGCAACTTTCAAACATTAGTTTTCAATACAAAATGGCACAGCGTTATTCTGTGCATTGTTTGAAAACGCCAATGTATGTTCCACTGTTGCCCTGATTGATGTGTTTTGAAATTTTGTTTTAGTGTTTTTCTCTCTTTCTTCTTCTGTTTTCTTGTTCTCCTTGAAATAAAATGGAACGGGGGAGGGTGAAAACACTGTGAATTCAAGCCTATTAGCCAGAGGAAGTAAAGACTTACCAGCAAAAATGAAACAAACAAAAAGTAGAAAATAGCTTTTTAGAAAGACTCCAGTGGCCTGTTTGGCTGTTTCCCAGCATCACAGTGGTCTAGCCAGCCTCATGAGGGATTATAAAGCATGGAGACTTCCCAAGTAAAAGGCTCAGGAAACAGAGCAGGGTGCGAATCACAAATAACCTTTACAAGAGGCAGCTGTCCTGATCAAACTGTGATTCTTCACTTGTGTGTAAAGTGTGAGAAGAAATATGGGCCTCCAGTTGGTCTTTCTCCTTGTTGTATACACACACACACACACACACACACACACACAGGGCACATTATTATTATCCCCGTCATTAGTATGAGTTCCAAACACTGAAGAGGCTAAAGATAAAACTGATCTTGGAGAAACAGCGACCAGTAGAATTCATTTTAAATGCAAAGGAGCAACAAATTTATTGACCAGATTAAACACAACAGTTGAAATGGCAGCGCTGTAGTCATGTTAAGGTGGTCCAATGAAACAAGGGAAGTGTTATTAGTCCAAGCTTCCTCATCCACTAAACAAGTGACTATCAAAACAGCAACATGCACAATGATACATATGCACAAAATGGAATCATATCAACAAATATACAAAATACCCAAAATAAAATATTTACAGTTTAAAAATATAAACATTGATTCATCTATTCCATTAAACCATTGGCATGGAGAAAGGAGAAAAGACCCTATTTTATTTAGAATCCTTTTTGAAAACAAGTTTCTAAAACATAGAGTTAGTTCTAGGAGACAATTTTTGATGTTTTCCAGGGGTTTAACATTCTATTACAAAAATAATATCTATAAACCTACTAACAATTTTCCTCCTCTGCACAAAAATAATACAGCCAAAAGCTTGTCCTCAATGACATTCCTGACTTTCAGGAAAATTAATTATAGAAATGGAAATTTTTTCATGTGGGTTGTCTTTGTTGCTATTTTCAAGTAACCTGCAATTCCTTATATTACACAGAGATACTTCATATAAATAACTTGGGCAAAACCTGAAGTTCATAAGGAGCCTGACAGGTCGCTGGTGACACGTGAAAAGGACAAGAATTCACTTTACCTATAATTCCAAGATTATCCCTGATATTCCCGATAAATCTACCACTATTGGATCCTCCTTGTTCAGTTACATTTCTCCTGGAGGAATGAAATGTTACAAGTTTTTGTTAGGGTTTCTCCCTCTTCATTTAGAGATAAGTGTGTTGTGGTCGCGAAGAAGTTTTGCTAATTCCTTCAGGCTACCTGAGACCATTTCAACGGCATGTTAACAAGTGCTTGTCATGTTATCCTATGTCCCTATGCCATTGGGCCAGCTATTTTCAGTACTTTTTTCTTGATCCAGGTCCAAAAGTGCCTAAGAAAGCTTAATGGGTCTCAAATAACAGGAACCAATGCTATATGTTACTAAAAATGTGTCTTCTCACATAAAGCCAAAAACTATTCAGTTATTGAATGGTTTCCAAAAATCACCCACTTACAAATTAATAAAATAAACACTGACACTGAATTTTGAATTATTCTGCTGATTCTCCTTAAAATGAGATTTAAAATTCAGAAAAATTTGATCAAGTGTATATAGCCCGTATGGCAATAAAATAATCTCATTATTTGTGACAGCAATACAAACGCAAATGGATTTTCTTTAAATACTGAGTCATCTTAATAGAGAGTCAAAAAGGAAACAACACAGGTGGCAATCTCTTGAATTCACCATCAACATTACATTGCCGGTTATATTATTGGCAAAACAGTCATCAGATTCTGGAATCTGAGTATAACAGGTAACATGTAAGTCTCAAGTTGTGTACTTATATATTTATTTTATTTTATTTTTGGTGCCAGGAATTGAACTCATAACCTCGCACTTGCCAGGCAGGTGCTCGTGCCTCTGAGCTCTACGCCTGACCCCTCAAATAATTTATGAATATGGCTCAAAATTTTGACAGTCCTAAAAGAGAAGAAAACCCTACTAGATTCCAAGAACTACCTGTAGACTTGAAGTAATTTAGATTATTTAAGACCATCAACTACCTTTTTTTTTTTAAGTTTACTTTTAACCAAAGTCATCATTTTCCTGGTGTTCACCATCATGAAAATCTAGTCCAACTCTTACTGTTCAGAACTTTGATCAATTTCCTACTTCAAACAAGTAGTACGAAAACCGAACCTCATGACGGAAACAGAGTTATCACCATAACACTGCAGTATGGGCCGCAGAGTGAGATCTCTGGTGCCTGCCCTGGTTAGGTGGTAAATTGGTAGCTTTGGCCAAAATAATGTTTAACCTTTCTGAGCATCCTTTTCTTCCTCTGAAGAAAGGAGCCCACACACATCACCTGGTTCTTGAGAACAATAAAGATAACAGTATAAAATAAAGGACAGAACATATCCCTGCCATTGTGTAAACAGCACTTATGCTAACTATTAGAATCAAATGTAGAATATTTGCGTGGTAATGGATCAAGAATGTGTTCTATAGCTGTTAGCTGAATTAATGACTAAGTCAGAAAGCAAAGACCGGGAGTCAATAGCCCTAGACGGAATATAGGGTGCACCATTTTTCAGAGACAGAAGTGCCTATTTTTGGATTTCAGAATTACCTCAAGGCAAAGGATAACCAACTGGCTACCATGTAAACAAACAACACAGGTACCAAGTGTTGGTGAAGGAATTGAGATACTGGAGCCCTTGTATAATTGGTAGGAATATAAAATGATGTAGATTCTATACAATGAGTACTCAGCATCCTGAATAAATCAAAAATAAAATTGCCCAGTGACCCCACTTCTGGGTATGTATCCAAAAGAACTGAAAAACATGATCTTGAGGAGATATCTCCTTGTTCACTATAGTATTGCTCACCATACCCAAGATACAGAGACAACCTCATGTCAGTCAACAGAGTAATGCATTAAAGAACTGTGATACACAATGGAATACCATTCAGTCTTTAAAAAGAAGTCAATCCTGCAGTGTACAACCCGGCTGAGGCTGTAGGACGTTATGCTCAGTAGCATGAGCCAGCCACAGAAGGACAAATACTGCATGATTCCACTCATATGAGATATCAAAAACTGTCCAACTCACAGAATTGAGGGGTGGAGAGGTGGTTTTCAAGGGCTGAGGGAGGAGAAATGGGGCACTGCTGACGAATGGGGATAAAGTTTCAGTTATGCCAAGATGAATAAATTCTAAAGGTCTGCAGTAGAACAGTGTATCTGCAGCTAACAACGTCGTGGTACCCTAAAAAATCCATTGAGAACGCAGACTTCATTGATCTATTCTTACTACGATTCAAAACAAAAACAAACAAATCAGCAATAGACATAGCACAGCCAGGATAAGCCTAGACTGGGTTTAAAATAGGAAAACAAATGAAGTGTGCTTAGAATGACTTAAATCCTATCAAGGAAGATGTATCACCATGACAACAGAAGAGATTTCTGTCTGTACTTTCCGTGTTAATCCCTGGAAAGAGGACTACGGAACGAGGGGCTACTCTTAAAAGAAGGCCAACTGTTAGCCTACCAACTCCCCCTCTAGAAGGGCGGCAGTTCCCCTGTGAGCGTCTGAGCACCGTACTCTTACACATCCAACTCATTTCAGCTACGTGGACACAGGTTAGCTTTTCCTGCTGACCACGAGCGGCTAATGGCTTCAGCAGCTCCGAGCTCTTAAATTACTGAATGACAGTAAAGAATCTGTAGCCTTTTTCCAGAGACTAGAAAGAGAGGCAGAGACAGAGACACACAGAGAGAGACAAGAGAGTCAGACATGATGGAGAAGTGAGATAGATAGATGGAGGATAGGGAAGAAAAAAGAATTAAATATCACTCTAGAGAAATAATGTCGCAACCCCCTATAATTGAGAAGAGAACTAGATAAATATTTATAACCTTCTAGCAGTGCCCAGTGCATAGTTAGCATTCAGCACATGTTACTGTTGTTATAATTACTATCTGTAGAGGAATCTGTGTAGCTTCACTCAGCCCACTCTGTTCCACTCCACAGACTACAAGCAACAAATACCCAAAAAAAGTAAACATAGGTAAAATAAAAGTGGTTTTAATGAATATTAAGAAAATCCAGTTACAGCATAGCTCTATGTGAGCCCCATACTGCATGGGTTTTTGTTAAGTATTAGATACAGCACATGTCCCATAAATGTATGTTGCACTGAATTCAAGTAAACATCAATGGAAAACATTTCAGGTCTGGAGGCTTCATGGCTATTTTAATCTTTCTCTCTTGAGTTCAAGGAAGACCTCCTTTCGATAACTATGATGCTAGTCCTCTGAATCACCCTCTAAATCTGCAGTGAGACAATCACACTCTTTGTAAGTGGCTATTGTTGAGACACATGTCTCCTTTAAGCCATGGTGTCATAGTCTCCTAATTTTTAAGAAGTCAGGGTGTGACTTTTGCTTTCCCATCCTGTTGCCTTAAGTTTACTGGCCTGTCCTGCTAGCCCTTTGGTCCCAAAGTGTTTTATAAATACTTTTGTGTCAAGAATTGAAAAATTTCCCAGGTTGAGTAACACATTCATGCCGAGAGGAGGGAATGAGCTTGGCTGTGGCATTTGGGTTTCTCTTATTCTCTAACTGGCGATATTTGTGGTAAGAAAAGGCAACTGAGATGTTTTTTCCTGAAAGGTTTCTTTTTTCAGTGCTGGGGTTTGAAGCCAGGGTATCACAAACACGAGACAAGCATTCTTATCACTGAGCCACATGCTCAGTCCAGGAGTTTCGATTCTTGAGTTTCTTAAGGGGAGATAGAGGAGCAAACTAAATGTGTGTCCTAGGACATGTGTCAATGGAAACCAAGCATGGCGGAGCCAAGTCCTTGTGTTCCTACTTCAAGAGAGAGATTCAGGGTGATTAGCAAGCAACGAATGCATGCCAACATGCTACCGTGGCCCAAACATGCCAACATCATGTCAAGGGTCCCATTCCTGCTGTCTGAGGGTACCAAGCAACTGTGATGAAAACAGGCAAAAAGCTACAGGAATCAATCTCTTTACACAAAGCGTACAATAAACCGCTGCTTTCGACATTTAACCTGATAAAGATGTAAACAACGAAAACTTTCAGATTGTTCAGACAAATTTTATCCTGCGGATAGCGTTTCTTCCCTCATGTGTCACCAAAGGGCTATCTCTATAGTCATTTAACTGTATGTTCATCTATGTATCTGACAGCTATTGAGATGAGTGATAAAACCTTAAATCTGTTAAGTCATCACCTTCATAGATTAAAAGCTTTGTATTAAAATAGATCATTTGTGGGAAATGTGTCTGAAGAAGGTCCCTAATGGTCAATATTCCATTGTTGTTGTTAGGTGAAATGATAAGTCTATTTCCTCTTGTGATTATTTAAAATACTGTAGTAAATAAAACGTCTATCACTTGGTGCTAACAGAAGAACAAAAGCATCAACCAGCATCAGAACTAGAGTGGACGTTTGAAGGAGCAATGTATGTGTGATACAAATATTAAAGTCAGGATGTCTTTGAAGAGGAGTATTAAACTGATAACTTCTGACCCAACAACTGATTTCGTTTTTCCCCCTCTAATTTGGGCAGCTGTTTAACCAAAGGGCATTAATCCGCACACATTTTAGGTTCATACATATCAGGAAGGGTGGTCTGAGCCCATATGGAACCCCTCAAACAATCAGCAAATATAGGCCTGTGTAATCCTCATACTGTTACTAGAGAACGCATTAGTAACCATTGGCCTGTACATCCAGAAAAATCCTAGAAAGTCATCTCCATAAACAAAAATGAGACAAAGTAGCTCTTAGTAAAAAGAAAGCAACTCTAGCTTTTTCTCTGGTTAGAAAATATTGGCCATGGGTCATCACTCCTCCCACCAAGCGAGGAGGTCATTCAATAGAAGGCCTGAATTCATTTGACTGTTAGAGACACAGAGTTAAAAAATCATGAAAACATGGAAAAAAGAAATAAAACAAGTTTTAACTCTTTCATAACCGGCTAATTGACAGGAGAAATAAAAATTTGCTAATATTTTCTTTTACGTGCAAAGAGAAGTCAGCAAAGTAGTGTAATTGCAGAAATAAGTCCTCAAACTGTGAAAGAAAAACAGTTTCTCCTAGTGTTTTAGAAAGAGACTTCCTTTACTGCGATAATAGTATCATCATTTCAGGTATTCTTAAGTTTCCTGTGCAGGTGAACAAACAGAAAAATAAAACAGCAATGGTGTCATGCAATGAAGACTATAATCTGAAGGAAAATGCACAAGAAGAAAAGAAAAATCTTTTGCTTTGGGGTTAGAAATAAAATTTATGTTCTATCTAATTTGCTGTAGTTTGAATCTGAATAGTACTATCAGTATTAAATCATTTAAAGTTCTTTCTTTCTCAAGGTCAGAAACAATTTTCAAAATATTTCTAAGCCTAAATCATTATAGATGTTTTCTATTAGTTTGTACTCATTTGAGCATATGCGCACTTGTGAGCTGTTTGAATTTCTAGCAGTGTGTTCAGAATGCTTAAGGCTATGTCTGCATGTAGGGCCTTCTATATAGATAGGAAATTAACTGTTAAAATGTTACTTTGAAATAACATTAAAGGTCCGAGAAGATGCAATAAAAGCCATTTAAATGACTCATAAAAAAATTCAGCAAACCTGTACCTTGTCTTCTCATTGAGTCATTGCAAACTTAAAAGGAGGAACAACCTGCTTTATGTTACTGGCTGAAATTTGTTTTCCTTTGATGTCCATTTATTTTGTTACTTCCTTTATATTATTAAAATGGGTTTTCATATTTTTAACTTTCCTTTTTCATCCCTTTACAAAACAGAAAACAAGGTTAAAAACAACAGCTCATTACTTAGTGAACTCTCTGGAGAATGAGAAGTACTCCAGTGCTTATGTCATTTACATATGTTTGGTGTCACTGAAATATGTATAATCTTCCTGATATGATGAATTACCTCCAAGTGGGAGCTCTGGCCTTTTGATCAGATACAATGGAGTGCATTTCAAAAGGATATTAATTTAATCATTAGACACTAATAGCATTCGAGGAACTGCTTCACTTTATCATTCAGACTACCAAGGCATATAACAACCCTTTCTGAAATGGAAGTTTTAGCTGAAATATTAGAAAGATACATATAATTGAAACCATTTCTTTAAAAAAAATAAACTTCATAATGCATTTACAATACATAAGCTTGTCAATATATTCTGAACACACTTGTCTCGGCCGTAAGTCTATGAAGCAAAATTGAAAGGACAGGGAAAACTGTATTTTTCTATTGTTTTTTTCACCGTGTGTCTCATATTGGACCACTGAGGAATGATTGGATTCAAAATCTTAAAACCAAGATTCTGACAACCAGGGTTTGGGGTAAGAAACAGATTCTTAACCAAAACAAGGCAAAACAATTCTTCTGGGACAGTCACACAGTATATATATATATATATATAATTTTTTTTTAAAGAACTAGAGACGATGCAAACCAAAACCAAAACCAGCATTGCTTCAGGTTGCAGTACCTAAAATAACCGGATGGTTTGGGGAGAGTCATCATATCTAACTATAAGGCCAGATTTTTAATTCTAGGTTATTGGCAGATTATAAAAATGTTAAGTGGAATAAACTGTAAAATATGCATTATCTACAAATGAGAAGGTTACTGTTGACAGATGCTAAAATACTGTGTCTATTGGCATTCAGTGAAATCATTCCCTGACCTGATTTCTGCACTAGGTGGAGGTGGGGGATTCAAAACCAAAACCACAAAATGAAACCTATTCTGTAAGCCTTTATTTCTCTCCAAACGATCTCGACCAACCAAACTAAAAGCCTCCTTTATTTTCCTAGTGGGAACTCTTCACCTACCTGCCTATCTAGTATCTGAAATGAGGGAGCTTTTCTGCTAACCCCCACGCCCTCATGAAGCCGCTACCTGCCTCTTTCAGCCTCGCAGGTGGCTTCCACACAGTGATACAGCAAAGGCTCTTTTTTGCCCCCTTGGAAAGGAAAAGGAAAGAACAGAAAGAGTGAAAGGGATCTTCTTGCAGTCTGCAGTGACTCATCCAGGCCCTCGACTAGCACAGCCCAGCACCCTGGCATGACTCTAACTGAGATTTGGTTGTCTTTTTTTCTGCAAAGGCAAGAGAAGGTGACTTCCGAGAGTTCAGTGCATGAAGGAAGAAAAAAAAAAAGAGTTTTAAAAAGGTAAAAAGAGGGGAGGGGAAAGTGCTCAAAAATAATTCTCAGGGACTCATCTTGAGAGGAGTATTCCACAGAGCGGAGCATCTCCCTCTCCTGGTGCATCCGCCCCTGTCCAGGCTCAGGAGCAGGGATGGTCCTACATCACTTCCTTTAGTGGGTTCCAGGGACCAGCTGTATTCCTGGACATGCCACCCATCCACCTCGGCCTGGGCCCTCACAACTTTTTGGCACTGTCGTGCAACGCCGCTGCCCGGAGGGTGGTCCCAGCCAGGCCCCGGTTGCTGACCCTGCGGACCAGCACTTTGGAGACTGGTATTTTTGTTCTGCGTAACTCACTCTTGGCTGGTTGCTGGTGCGTAGCGGGGTGGCTGGATGGAAGGTTCGAGAGATGCTTGATGCTAATGGGGATCTTTGAGTCCTTCAGCAAGCTGCCCGGTGTTCGCAGTGGACAGGTGATGGCGCCTGGAGACACCGGCTTCAACCGGGACAGGCAGGCCGTCTCCTCGCCGGCAGGGGGACCGGCGGGGCTGGCGTCGGGCTCCGCGTAGAGGTCGTAGAGCGCGTCGCCGCTGTCGCTGTCCCGGGGGAGGCCGGATCGCTTCCCGCCGCCCGCGCCCGCGTCTTCCTCGGGGCCGGGCGTGGTGGAGTCCCAGTAGCCCTGGTCACTGTTGGGGACGCCTTCTGGCGGCTCCTTCTCCGAGGGCTGGGGCTCCTCCTTGGGGTGCAGCTCGGCGGGGACCCCGTGCAGCCGCCTGCGCTTGACCGAGGACGCGTCCCTGGGCGCCTCGGCAGCCCGGGCGTCCCTGGAGGTCTCCGGCACCGCCTTGGCTTCCTGGGCCGGGGCCGCCTTGGCCACCGCGGCCTCCGGGGGCGCCTGGCCCTGGTCCTCGGCCTGGGACAGCATGTCCCAGAACTCCTGCAGACAGGTGTCGTCCACCCCGTCCGGGCTGGCCATCTCCTCCCCGCCTCCTTGGTAGGCCACCACGCCTCCGGGCGTCTTTTTGGGCGGCGCGGGCTTGCCCGGCCCGGGGGCCTGCTTGTCACTGCTGGGACCTGCCTCCTCCTCGGGGTCTGCGATAATATCTCCGCAGCCTGTAAGAGAGTCAAAGCTTTTCAGTGAAGTCACGTCAGAAAACATCAAACAAATCCGGTCGGCCGCCGGGTCTGAGGGCGGCTCGGCCGAGGCGGGGTCGGGGGCGCGGCCGGCCTCGGGGTGCGCCGGGGGCTCGGCCTCTCGCGCCGCGTCCCCGGTCCTGGAAGCGTCCTGGGCCGCCGCCGCGTGCGCCTCGCCGGCTGCCGGCGCCCTGCGCCCCGCCGCGTCCTCGGCCGGCGGGCTGCTGCGGTGGGCGCCGCCGGGGCGCGGGGCCTCGCCCTCCTCCGGGGCGCGCTGGGCGGCGGCGGGCGCCTGCGCTCCCCCTGCGAGCTCACCTGCTGGGTGTGGCGGGGCGTCCCCCCGGGCGCGGGCCGGCTCCTCCTTGACGCACTCCAGGCTGGCGGTGAGCGAGCCGGGCGGCCCCAGGGCCCCCGGGGTGGCCGCGCGCGCCGGCCTGGGCCCCTCGCCCCCGCCGCGCCTGTCCTTCCGCGGCCAGCGCATGCCGCTGAAGATGCCTCGCAGCCCCCTCTTTTGTTTGCCGCCGGCCCTGCTCGCGTCCGCCGGGTCCCCCTTGCCCGGCTCCGGCCTCCCGTTCTTCCGCAGCAGGGAGAAGAAGCTGTGGGACTTGGCCACGGAGCCGGCGGCCAGCGAGCCCGGGCCGGGCGCGGCGGCCCTGGGGGGCCCGGGGTTCGGCCCGCGCGGCTCCTCCTTCCTGCCGCCCTCCAGCACCACCACCTCGGCCAGCCCGTCGTGGGTCCTGCTCCTCACCATCCCCGTCGTCGTCGTCGTCGTCGTCGTCGTCGGAGCCGAGCTCTTCGCATCCCCTTTGTTTTTGACCCCAAAAATGCTGGGCATGGTGCCGCCCGATTTCCTCTTCTTGAATAATTTGAAGGCGGCTTTATTAATCTTCCCCGACGGCGGCGGCTCGGCGGCCGGCGGCTCCGCAGCGCAATCACAATGCGAGTCCATGTCTGCCGCGAGGGTCCCGGCCCCGGCCCCCTCCTTCCTCCCGCAGACCCCCGCGGACGCGCGATCGCAGCCGCGCGCGCTGACAGCCCCGCCGCCGCCGCCGCCGCCGCCGCCGCGGCTCCAGCCCGTCTCCATGGAAACCGAGCGGCCCCGCGCTGTCGTCAGCCGCGGGCTCGCGCCAGGCCACTGTCATCCGCGCTCTAAATCAACCTGAGCCGCTCCTGCCGCTGCGCTCGGCTGCTGCAAAAGCACGCGCAGAAAAGACCATCTCCCCTCCCTGCGAGGTCTTATATAATACCCTAACCCACTTCCAGCCCTCCTGGCTCCACGCTGCAGAGGGTTTTCGGCTTTCTCGTTTTTTTGTTGCCTGTGTAGAAAAAAAGACTGCAACGCAGCCTCGAACTGATGGCAGAGATTCAAGTTGCAATTACGGAATTCCATCAACTCACTCACCTTGAGATTCCTCCTCTCCACTCGCTCTTTCTGATCACCCGGTGGTGGATCGCCAAATGCCCTCAGATAGAACAAAACGCCATTCCACCCAACACAAAACGCTCCTTCCTTCTGTCATCTATCGGGGTCCTCCCGTCTGCAGGTCCTTCTTGTCTGTGCTCCGCATTTGGGTACTGCACCCTGAAGGCCCGCGGCCTTTCTGTCTCCATCCCTGTCTGCTCGGGGCTGACCTTCAGTTCCATGTTGCCTTCTTGTTACTGTCTTTCTGATTCTTCTGGTAAAAGCGTCAGCCATCTGTCAGTAGCAAAGCCAAGCAGCAACTTTCAGCAGTGACTTCCACCAGGCGCGACAACTCTGTGGGGTGGAGGCTGACTGGTCCTTCAGGGAATCCGTGGCTTTTACTGCAGATTTCAGCCATCTGGGCCTGAAGTCCCAGAAGTCACTGGCCGGGACACCCAGTAGATGGGCTGATGGGGAACGCTGCTTGGGGAGCTCAGGTCTGCTCTCCAGGTGGGCCTTGGTGTCCCAAGGTCGGCCCTTTTCTCTTGTGCTGGGGTCCTGGTTTTATGCTTCAGTCCCAGCTTGCGCTTCCCTTAGGCTGACAGCTTCCTTCCCCTACTGGGTAGGGAAACCTGGTGGGGATCCCTGAGTGCCTGGGTGAAGGTAGCCACTCCCTTGGCCTGGTGGGAAGAAAAGGAGACCCTCACTCAACCCCAGGAGGGGCCGGTCTGCTGGGTGCTCTCTGTGCTCCGCTGTGAAGGTGGCTGGTGTTATCATACCTTGAAATCTGCTTTTGTGTTCCCACTGAGGGCTTCATGGAAGACCCTTGAAGAAGCATGTACCTACATGCACAGCGTATAATTTATATCCTGTATATTCCTTAATATTATTTCTTAAATATTAATTACACAAACATTTGTATACACACAAATAACCTTTTTCATATTCATCTTAAATTTCTTGTGTTGTTTTTCTTTAACTCTTGGTGCTGGGGATGGAACACAGGCCTTTGCACATGCTAGGCTAATGCTCTCCTATTCCCAGCCCTTGAGCTTTATTTCTGTTATGTGTTACTTTCATTTCATGCTAAGAAATCCGGGCCTCCATATGTTCAGGTAGGAGTTTTGCTGGCCACCGATGCTGGCCACTGTGGTTTCTGTAGACATGACTATGCTTGGTTCACATCTATGCCTTGGGTTAGTTGTGACAAGTTGCCCTTTTCTGTATGTTTGTTTGTATGTATTTTTTTTAAAAATCTGTTTAGTAAAACAAAGGATCAGTGAGTTTGAAAAAAGAAAAATCAGTGATTAGGTAAGGCTTTGACTGCCAGAATTCCAATCCCATCTCTTTTCTGATAGGAACATATACCTCTCCCCTGAACAGGACATAAAGCTGAGACAGAGCTCTGTGTCCCAATTTTAACCAACCACTTGACATGATGAATCAGAGTCCTAAATGCCCCACAGAGAGACCCAGCGTGAGGAACTATAAAGAGAATCTCATCTGGTATTTCTTCACAGCCTTTGGTGGACAAGTGAAGACCCATGCACACACACAGGCACACACACACACACTAGTTGTTTCTATATGTGGTTACTGTGTAATGTGTCAGTTTATGACTGGGTTCAACGAATAGTAAATTAGACTATTAAAAAACCTCTTCTTCTCCACCCCTGAGTCTGAGAATCAGAGGATGGTGGCCTGCCTGCCTAGCAGGGAATTCTCTGCTACCCAAACAGCTTCAATGACCCTCTCATTTACATGTGAATCCTTGAAACCCCTGGGAGAAAATTGGCAGAGTCTTCTGGGATAGATGCCACCCCTTTGGGACAATGACATGGAAGCCAAGAGAAATGGACAGAGTGGCCTTCAGTCTGGGGAAGGTACCCTGTGAGGAGTGCTTGGCCCTGAGGTCCAAGGGAGCCAGCAGTCAGCTCAGCGCCCTATCAGGCCTGGGGAGAGGTGCGCAGCAGAGGCTGCAGTCTGAGCCAAGACCTTTCCCTCTCTTTCACCTAAGGCTCTGGCTCTGGGACTAGTGGAAAGAGGGGAACGAGGTCAGGCTTTTGAGCTCACTAGAAGAACCAGACAGGTGAGAAGGAAGAGCCTGGAGCAGCCTGGCTTATGCTAGGATGACGGTCGGACTGTCGAGTGGCAGACTGAAGTCAAAGGCCATCCCTAGGAGCCCAGATCCATCCAGACCTGAAATGCTCCTGGCAGTCAAGGTGAGGGCAGCAGAGGTTACACTTTTCTGGAAGCCAAACAAGATAGTGAAGACAATTTCACCAGAAGCACTCCAGTTTTTATGAGGTCTTTTATTTTTTTTCCCACACAGCCTCACTTCAGAGACTGAGCAGAAAATGAGAGGAGGAAGGGGAGAGTGGGGCTGCGGGAGAATGTTTTGGGCCAGAGCTGTTCCAAAACAGTACAGTACTTCACAGATGTAAACAGCAAGTAACTTGGCCTGGAGACACATGTGAGCTTTTCCTTTTTTTGGCACAAGGCAGTGTTTGTTGTGGAGTGCAGGCTTTTGTCTCTGGGCAGCCAGCCTCCTGGAGGATGACACTAAAACAAGGAAAAAGGTGAGAGAGGGCTGGGGATTTAGCTCAGCAGTATAAGCGCCTGCCTGGCAAATGTGGGGTTGTGAGTTTGATCCCTGATACTCCAAAAAAAAAAAAAAAAAGGGGTGAGAGAAATACAAAGGGGGATTATTTGAGAGTTTAGCAGTGCCGTTTTCTGCTTATGTAGTGAATTTTCTCTCTTACATACAAAGACCTGAGAGATGGACAGCTCTGGGGGCAGTCTGTGCTTGCTGTGGGTCTTTCCAAGTCACCGTGTTTCTGCTAAAAGGTCTCCGGCTTCACTCTAAATTTGTTTTGAATCTTTGAAGGGATGCTGTTCAATCAAAGAGGTGTGGAAATGATAATCCATGGCTGAGACCAGCGCCACCCACCTGAAGACCATGCTGTCAGTCTGAGCCCCACCCAGGCTGAAGTCCAGCTCCCTGCTCCTGCCCACTCTGTCCTGTGATCTCCAGGTAATAACACCAGCAGGCCCTTACATCACTGATCATTCCCCTGCTGCCAGCTCTGTCCAGTGCTCAAACCTGACCTTGCTCTCACACAAGCTGAAACCACAGGGTGAAGTGCCCGGTGCCAGGAGGGAGAGGTGTGGGCACACCTTGCAGGGAGCCCAGTTCAGGGTGCGATGCAGCTGAGGTTTTCCTGTACCCTCCTTGTGCAGAGAGACAAGGATACAGGTCAGGACAGGCAGGATGGGGACCCGAGACATCTGCGCATGAGGAGTCCTTAGCTGGACTGAAGTTCTTGTATTTTCTTTAAGCATATTTTGATTCCTGGTTTTCCTCAAATATCAGTTTTCATTGTAGATTGATTGCTTCTCTGCATACATTTTTATTCAGGAGAGAAATTCATTTCTAATTACTAACTGTGGTGTGAAAGCCCAGCACAGCTCATAATTTTCTGCATTAACCTCAAGGAACACTTGAGACTGCAGAGGGGAAAGAGCTCGTCCCAGGAGGTGGCAGAATCCCACACTGGCTCTGAAGCCTTCAAAAGCTCGGGGAGGCAGCAGTTCTGGTTGATCCCCTGTCTCCTGGGTCCAGCCCCCGCCCATCCCCAGGTTTGTGCCTGCATCCCAGGTTCAAAAGAGCAGATGAAAGCGAACTGAGCACTTCTGCATAGCACCGGTAGGACCAGGGGGCCATTGAGCAGGCAGCAGTAGACAGTGCTGGCCTTTGGGAGAGCAGCAGTGTGTCCAGTTTCCTGCAGCTGCCCTAACAACTACCACTATCACCGAGTCACTTAAACAAGAGAAATTTTGTCTCATAGTTCTGTTGGCCAGAAGTTCCAGCTCAAGGTGGCCACAGGGCCAGTTATGACAGCCGGTTACGGGAGAATCTGTCCCACGCCTGGCTCGTGGTTTCTGGCTGCTACCAACAACCCTTGGTATCCCTTGGCTGTGAGACACAGCATCCTGACCTGTACCTCCATCATCGAGGATGCTTTTGCATGCCTGTCTGTGGCACTAATCCTGTTACTACAAGGAAACCAGCATTGGTGGATGAAGGGCCCATGTTCTCTGGCATGATCTCAACTTAATTTATAATTTAGTCACATTTGCAAAGGCCAAATAAGGCCCTGTTCCAGATGCCAGCCACTAGGACTCCACATAGCTTTTGAAACACAATTCAGCCCATACTAAGCACTGTCACCAGCTATGGTGATGGCATCCCTTCACCTTCGCTCCTAGCTGTCACCAGTGCCTGGATACCAATGCTACCAGTCTTGGACTCAGGCTCTGGCAGCTTCAATGTGATCACAGGCTGCGCCAGTAGGTGTGGACCCTTCACGATGGGCTTGTGGGGTTGCCAGCGATGTGGGACAGGATCATTGGCAGCCAGGGTAAACAAGAGAAAGAACACTGTCAGCCAAGAAGAGCAGATGTTGATACACAGCCTGACACCCTGCAGTCCTTCCTCCAGGATGTCCGGGAAAGATGCAAGAGGGCCACCAGGATCCTCGAATTGTGGAGAAGACAAAACATGAGAAACTCTGTCTGAGGCCCCCAAGCCAGAGTAACCTGAGAAACACCTCGGCTCCCGCCCCTTCCAACCCTCCCTTTGCTCCTGCTCTTCTATTTTGCTAGAGCCATTTAGAAGCCACTCTGCCTCAGTTGCAGAGGGGGATGGGATCTCTTCAGCTGACTGCACTGAGCCAAAAGTGGGGCAAAATGAGGTCAGATAGCAGTGGGTGTACAGACAGGATGCCAGGGCTCCGGG